CGAGAGGGGATCCAGGCAGAAAGAGGGATGGTCGAGGATATTTGTTGTTGTCGCTGCTGCTGTTGTTGCTGTTGTTGTTGTTGTTGTTGCTGTTGTTGTTGTTGTTAAAGTCTCATTTCGGACGAATAATTATTGTTGATCCCCCCTCACCGGTGAATACTGTTTTTCTAAATCGAAGTGTGCCCCTCGACGCTCGCACCCTGTTTTTTGACAGGGGAAGTCTTGGTACTCAAACTGGGCCCCTGGCACCCCGGACTACAACAACAACAACAACAACAACAACAACAACGGCTCCCGCCTGAGACTTCCTCCAAATTTACTCAGGACCCCCGATCCTGAGACTTCTTCACAATTTACTCAGGATCGGTGCTCCCGCCGGTGACTTCCTCGCAATTTTGTCAGGACCCCCGCTCCCATGTGAGACTTCCTCATAATTTCCTCAGCAACGGCGCTCCCGCTTGAGACTTCCTCGCAATTGAATCAAGACTTCCTCGCAGTTTAATCAAGACCTCCGCTTTCGCCAGACATTTTCTTCAGGAATTGCGCTCTCGCCTGTGACTTCCATGCAATTTATTCAGAAATCGCGCTTTCGACGCTCAGGAAACACGCTGCGCCAAGGACGCCGTTACAAATTACTTAGTAATCGCGCTCTCGCCATACTCAGGCAACCCGCATGAATGTCCCACCCGCCCGACCCGCCCGTTAGGGGATCGCCCGCCCGTCGTGGGTTCCCGCCCGAGACTTCCTTCGAGAACGGCGCTTTCGCCTAGGACTTCCTCGAACGTTCACGCTCTTACATTCCTGCTCCTCCTCCCTCTCCCTCCTCCCTCCTCCCTCCTCTCCTCCCTTCTCTCTCGCTTCTCTCTTCCCTCATCCTTATGCCTCTCTGCCCTATCCCCTCTCCCTCCTCTCCCTTCTCCCTCCCCTCTCCTGCCTCCTTCCTCCCTCTTTCTTTCTTTCTTTCTCTCTCCCCTCTCTCTCTCTCTTTCTCTATCTCTCTTATCTGTCTTTCTCTCTCTCTCTCTCTCTCGCTCTCTCTCTCTTTCTGCCTATAATCCACCGCCCCCCTCTTCGCTCCTTCTCTCCTGGCGTTTTCCCTCTTCCTTCGTCCCTCTCCCTCCCTTCCTCCAACTCTCCCGCGTTCTCCCCCTGAAGGATTGTCCGCCCGTTCGGGTTTGCCCGCCTGTCTAAGCCCGCCGCCCCCCTCAAAAAGAAAGAATCCCCCCAAAGGGGGTGTGATCGAAGACAAAAAGGGCGGGTATCGAGGGTGTGGGAAACTCGTTTTGAATGACACGCGGGCAAGTAAGAGCGAAGAGTCTTAGAATGAGTGTTGTTGCTGTTGTTGTTGATGTTGCTGTTGTTGTCGTTGTTGTTGTAAGTGTTGTTGTTGCTGCTGTTGTTGTTGCTGTTGCTGTTGCTGTTGCTGCTGCTGTTGTTGTTGTCGTTGTTGTTGCTGCTGCTGTTGTTGTTGTTGCTGGTGTTGTTGTTGTTGGTGTTGTTGTTGTTGTTGTTGTTGTTGTTGTTGTTGTTGTTGTTGTTGGTTTGTGCGTGCTCGTTGTTTGGTCTTTCCAATGGGTGTTTGGGGTGTACACCAAAGGATGCCCGATGGCTGTTTTGGTATACCCTTGTGTTTTGTCCACCGAGATCGAGTGCACCAAACATGTCAGTCGCCAAGCAGCTTCGCTTGGTGGCGCGCCAGACGGCTCCTCGGCTCGCCCGGGGGGCCGCGCCCTGGCGGGTGGTCGCCCCCGTCTGTCAGCGCCTAGCGTTTGCTCCTTCGATGCCTTGTCGCCTGCCGCGGGAGATGGCTTTTTCTCTTCAGAAACAAATCACCAGACCCTTGCGAGCAACCTACCCAGAGAAGAGAACACATCAGACCTCCGACGTATTTCGGGAGGGAAAAACACCCAGGCATCATTGATCGTCGATTCCCAAGAAATTGTAGAAAAATATGGGACGTGGGGGGAAGACGAAAACCCAGAGAATCTTGAAAAAGATTCGGATTCCTGGGGTTTGTGTGTATTTGTGTGTGTCCTTGGGCCCCTCTAGTATTCACGACATCAAGAAACGATCCCGAGGTTTTTTCAAATGGTCAGCCTCCGGGGACCCTCGTCGGGCCCCCGCGCCGCCAATGACTCAAGATACTGCGCCGGCCACGGGCTGACGAGCGCGTTCTGGACGTCGACGGCCTGGCTGCCGTGGGCGCCTGCCGCGAGAGCTCGCGTCAAATGTTTAAGCCGGTCCTCGTCATTCTCATGGTGGCCCCGTCCGGCCAAGGCGAGTCCCCCGAACCCTTGTCTCACGCCTCCCCGATCGGTGCATGCGGCGGGCCGCGCGGCGCGCGCCTCGCGGAACAACTGAGGAGGAGGAGCGAAGAGGAGGAGGAGGAGGAGAAAAAGGGAGGAGGAGGAGGAGGAGGAGGAGGAGGAGGAGGAGGAGGAGAAAAAGGGAGGAGGAGGAGGAGGAGGAGGAGGCGGCAGGGAGTGCGCAGAAGTGCGCCCGTCCTGGGCCGTGGATGGTGGCCGGGCCATGGGTCGGCGGAGGTGTGCAGGCGGCGCCAGGGCGCGCCTCCCCAGGAGCGAGAGATCTGGTATAGGTTGAGCATACGCACTGCTCATTGCTAATTCTTCGAGGGTTCTCTTATTTTTCGGGGGTGGACAGAACCCCCAACAGTGACACGTCGATTAGTGAATTGTCCGTTTTCGGTTCTCGAGATGGCGCCGTGGCCGTTATTTTCCAGGCTTGCGCCCGCCAGATTTTGGCCTCAGGTCGTTTTCACTAAACCACGTTTTACTAAAGGGGGGTCTGTCCATCCCCGAGTTTTTTTGAGGGGCCAAGATCCTTTCATTCTAATTGTTCTATCCTGGGCCTCTTCCTGGCCACTAGGGGGCCCAGGAACACTCAGAACAAGCGCCAATTCGACATGAGCACGATCAGAAATGAACGACGTGCACCTATCGGTCGTTGAACGTGGGTGTTTCTGGGTCTCACCGCCCACCAAAGCACCCCAACTCAACCCGAAGGCCCCGATTGCACTCCATTCCCAGGAGGGGGGGGGGGGGCGTCTGAAAGCCCCAGGGCAAACACATGTGGAGCCCGTACCCCCCCAACCCGAAATTTGGGTATGCGTGTTCGGTTTGGGGTGGTCTGGCAGGTCGTCAGTTCTCATATCCTAAGCTACTACAAGCGCCGTTCTACTCCGAGAATCGGTAGGCTTTTGCTCTTTCTTGCTATTCGCTGGAAGGGCCTGAACCCGATGTACTTTATCCCCTTCATCGTCATCATCGACATCGTCATCGTCATCATCGTCACCATCATCATCGCTCACCTTCCTACTTTTTACCTGCTACTGCTTCCGACCGGCGTGTAAGCATGCACCGTCGGAGGTCCGCAGCCTCTGCACAGAAGCAGCCAACCACTCGTTCAGATCAGCTGCGTAACTGTGCACAGGAGAGCCGAAGCTCTGCTCAGCAGCAACCAACCTTTCGTTCAGACCACTTATGTGCTGATATTTGATGTGATGGCCTGGCGGGGGCTCACCGCCGAGGATTCGCATCCGATGGAGCACCCTGGCGGCGCCTCCAGCGCGCTCCCGCCGCGCTCCGCGTGCCAGGGGGGGGTCCATCGCCGGTCTTAGAAGTCCGCGCGGACCTCAAAGAGAGTGTGTGCTCAGCTGCCTCGATACGCTCGTTTTGAAACGCAACACGTCCCGTGTTCAAGACGTCCGTGTCAATACGTTGCGTGTTGGCTCTACGTATTGGACCACGTTTTGGCGAATGTGCCGCGTCGGACCCACGTTTTTAGCTTACGTGTTGAGCTCCGTATCAATACGATACGTGTTCCGTGTTGCGTATAGGGGCAGCTAAGAGTGTGTGGGTTGTGCCGCTTCTTGTCCCTCTGGAGGCGGGTCTGGGCGCCAATAATACAAGCTCACCGATCCTAGTCAGGCCAGCCACGGGCCCAGGCTCAAGTCGGGCATGGTCTACAGGAGAATATTCAGAAATAGTCAAAAAATACGTTGGGGACGATTTTGTTTACTACTTTTGAACATTTTTGGGATCTGTTCTGACTCTTCTTTACTGTTCGTCCCAAATCACTCTGTAGGGCGACAGGCCCGACCTAAGCCCAGGACTGGCGCAGTCCTGTGCACCACGCCCCACTTCAGAGCGTCGCCGCCTCGAGCTGCCCCCAGGTAGCCCCGGGGTGGAGCGGAGCGACGCGCAGGCCGCCCGCAGGGCAATTGCGTGTCGCCGGGGTCGCTGTTGGACAGGCACGCTGAGCAAGAGCTCCCGACCGTACGTGTCGACTAGACGTCACCGTGACCTTTCGCCGGAGTGACCCTTGGTGCGGGCCCAATTGGGTTCCCTGGAGAGTTTCTCCGAAGGGCTTAGGCGACCCGTCCTCCTCCTCCTCCTCCTCCTCCTCCTCCTCCTCCTCCTCCTCCTCCTCCTCCCCCTTCCTTCTCCTTCCTCCTCCTCCTCTTCCTCCTCCTCCGCCTCCTCCTCCTCCTCCTCCTCCCTCTCTCCTCCTCCTCCTCCTCTCCTCCTCCTCCTCCTCCTCCTCCTCCTCCTCCTCCTCCTCCTCCTCCTCCCTCTCCTCTCCACAATCTCCTTCCTCCTTCTCCTCCTCCTCCTCCTCCTCCTCCTGCTCCCTCTCCTCCTCCTCCTCCTCCTCCTCCTCCTCCTCCTCCTCCTCCTCCATCGCCTCCTCCCCCTCCCCCTCCTCCTCCTCCTCCTCCTCCTCCTCCTCCATCTCTTCCTCCTCTTCCTCCTCCTCCTCCTCCTCCTCCTCCTCCTCCTCCTCCTCCTCCTCCTCGGGTCGCCTACGGCCCCGGGGGAAACCGTTCAGGACCCCCCATCGCTGAACGCGAGGCGGTAGCAGCGGCTTGCGCGCCCAGGTTTGGCCACCCCTGCGTCCCGCGTCCAGTCGCGCACCACATAGGTCAGTCCTTGCCTGTAGGGTCGCCCTCGCGTGCAGCCCAAGTTCGCGCCCTCTGCGAGGCGGGCCTGGGCGACATGGCGCCCCCCTTCCTGCAGACCTTCAACCCGCACCGGCGGCACGCGGCCGCGGCGCGCCTGGCGCTCTCGCCGCTGCTGGCGGCGACCGCGGCCGCGCTGCTGGGCGTGCGCTGCGTGCGGCTGTACCAGACCTCGCTCTTCCGCAAGCGGCCCGAGGACTCCCGACCACGACCACGACCACGGCGACTGTGTGTGAAGTCCGCTCACATCACCATGAGTTCCTTATCTACTGCCGACGTCTCGGCTCAGGTACTGGTATTGGGTACAGCGCCGCCTGTCCGCGGCGCATGGGAAAAGGGATCGCGACCCGCTCCCTTACCTTCCTCTACCTACGGGACATCTAGTCGGTTCGACACGTCGGTCGTCAGACTGCATAGACAGCGACAACGTAAGCGGCGTCGCCGACGGCGGCCACGCCCACGACAACGACCACGACGCCACGGCGGCAGCGGCGGCGGCGGCGGCGGCGACGGCGGCGATCACGACGGCATCGAGCATCGACGACGACGCTGGCGACGTTGTGCAACAATATCAGCTGGCAGGTAACGGGGTTCAGCGCAAACTGAGCTCAGCTAGAGCGCCAGACCCTCCAGGAGCAGATCCTGTAGCGCCAGGTGTGGGGGCCGCTCGCGGTTTCGGAGGTGGGCTTGCAGATTGCTTGGGCTCAGATTGAGAAGCAATGGCAGCACAGTTTTTGATATCGGTTGCGCACGGCTTGCGTTGAGCCGGTTAGGTCACTCCCGAGACCCAGGCCCCCGACGTCATGATTGTTTCATGACGTCGACCCCCAGAGGTCTCGACCTCTTCCCCGGGACTGGTGTTTCATCCCGAGTCGTTTTCTGACGGCCCCGAGGCCCAGCAAGGGCCCCGAGAGGCCGAAAATGGCGAAAAACCTCCCGTCGTGTTTTCTTTGCCCAAAGAGGTACCGAAAATGGCGAAAATGGCGAAATTTTCTTTGCCGAAAGAGTCCGAAAATGGCGAAACAACTCCCGTCATGACTTTCTCTTTGCCCTAAGAGGTCTGGGGAACGCGAGGCAGGATCCCCAGGGAGCACCGGCACCCCCCAGCGGCTCGGCGGCCGCGGCATGCCGCCGCCACTCGTCGAAGACTCGAGGCGGGGTGCCCCAGGAGCTCCAGGACAGGACACTGCTTGGGCCCGGCGGCCGCGGTGTGCAGGGGGTTCGCGAGGCGGGTCGGGCGCTCTTCTCTCTCAGTCTAACATCGAGTTGGGCAGGTCCCTCTACAGGAGGAACACTCAAGCATAGTCAATACATAATTTGGGGGCCATTTGTTTTTACCATGTTTGAACATTGACTTAGGATATTCTTTCAGTATTTTTTATGGTTCGTCCAGAACCCGCCTGTAGGGGGACATGCCCGACCTAAGTCTAACAGCCCGGACCTGTCGGGAGGGGAAGCTGAGATTGGCCTGCCAACGGGCGCCCAGCGAGAACTCCTTGGCCACCGATGGGGCCGCAGAGCCCTGGGGCCTCCTGCGAAGGCCAGAGTCCAGCAGAAAGATGTGCTCCTGCAGATGTCTTGCCGCAAGGCTTCGCGATGCGATCGTGCCCACCGCTACCAGCCTCTGAGGCCGGCGCCGCCCTCCGAGATTCCATGCTGCTTTGTTGCGCTGCCTCGATCGCTGCGCTTGTTCTGGATGTATTTCTCGATTTGTGTTGAGGCCTGAGTCCTACAAGACTCGTCAAAGATAAACAGAAGACTTCTGAATTCGGTGATTGTGGGGTGAGCTCTACTCCAATGCTGACGGATTCCTGTTGACTCGGACACGGCGTTGTCCAAAAACCGACCCCGCCCTCCCAGCATTGAAGAACACGTTTTCTGAGAAGAGCGCGAAAGCACCGTGCTCCAGGATTTCAATGTCCATTTCTGGATATTTTTGACGAGGCTTGTAGGTCCTAGGGAAACGAACAATGACATAAACATAAAAACTTGGGGGTCCGCGCCGATTGCTCGGATCGGCGCTGGACCCCTTGGCGGCGCCTCTGGTGCCGCCCTTGGCGCGCTCCGCGCGCCAGGGAGGGGGGTCCAGCGCCGATCCCAGAAACCCGCGCGGACCTCGGAGTTTTCATGCTTATGCCATGTCTTGTAGCACGCCTCCTTGTCAGTAGATGGGCAGCGAACGAGGGGGGGGGGAAGTGAGAAGAGGCGTGCCTTCTCAGAAGGCTCGGAAGCCCCCCATCCTCGGATCTTCGAAGTCCCCCAGCCTTCTGAGAAGCTTTCCCCGCCTTCCCCGATGACACGAACCATTTTTTTCAGAAGGCGCGAGGACGCCTCCCGAGAAGGCCTTCTCCTTCTCACGTCCCCCCTCGCTCGCCGCCGAGTAGAGGCTGCTTGTTTCGAAGAAGACAAAGCACATGAACACAAACTTTTGGCGCTCCGCGTGGATTTCTTGGATCCGCGCTGGGCCCCCCCTGGCAGCGCCTCCGGCGCCGCCCCTGGCGCGGATCCAAGAGATCCGCGCGGAGCGCCACAAGTTTATGCGTGTGTGTGTGTGTGTGTGTGTTCTGTTTCTTCTTCGATTGTTCCTCCCCTGAGGACGACGTCACCTCGTGGCACGCCGACCTGTGGACGGCGCCGCTGATGACGAACAGCTTCGTCACCGTGTGGCTGCCGCTCCGCAGCATAGGCCGAGGGCGACGTCGGCCGGCCGCCACACCGGCCCTGGCCAGGCCGACCTTGAGCCGAGGATCGGTGCAGGCAGCCACTACATCCAGACCTGCATGATTTATCCGAAGGGCTTAGGCGACCCGTCTTCCTCCTCCTCCCTCCTCCTCCTCCTCCTTCTCCTCCTCCTCCTCCTCTTCCTCCTCCTCCTCCTCCTCCTCCTCCTCCATCTCCTCCTCCTCCTCCCCCTCCTCCTCCTTCCTCCTCCATTTCCTCCTCCTCCCCCTCCTTCTCCTCCTCCTTCTTCCTCCTTCTCCTCCGGCTCCTCCTCCTCCTCCTCCTCCTCCCCGTCCTCCCCCTCCCCCTTCTCCTTCTCCTCCTCCATCTCCTCCTCCTCCTCCTCCTCCTCCTCCTGCTCCTCCTCCTCCTCCATCTCCTCCATCCCCTCCATCTCCTCCATCTCTCCTGCTCCTCCTCCTCCTCCTCCTCCTCCTCCTCCTCCTCCTCCTCCTCCTCCTCCCTCCTCCTCCCTCCTCCTCCTCCTCCTCCTCCTCCTCCTCCTCCTCCTCCTCCTCCTCCCCTCCTCCTCCTCCTCCTCCTCCTCCTCCTCCTCCTCCTCCTCCTAGGTGGCTTGGCGCGGGCACCGCAGCTGTTTTGCCCCGCGGCGGGCGCCCGCCGTGCCAATGCCCCCAGCGCCAGGCCTCTCCCCTGGCGCGTCCGCAGATGCCCCTGGCCTCGCCTGGAGCTGCTGATGCGATTCATGTTGACAGCGCACGTGCCGCCTTCCTGTGCGGCCTCGCTGTCCCGAGCTGCCCGTCGCCGTGCCAGGGCGCGGTGCACGGCGGCGCGCCATGCGCAGGCAGCGGCTGGCGCCATCGTCGCCCTGCTGCAGCCACAGGGCCCGGACACGCCGGCTGTGGACAGGGCTCCACGCATGGACGCGCTGGAGACGCTCACCAGCCTCTCCGCGGCCGCAGGGGCCAACTTGGCTGCGCAACGGATCCGCACCGCCGCCACGGTGCGCACGCCCCTTCGTAGCCAGGCTGCTGTATACTACCCTGCTGGTCCTCTCGCCCCGCTTAGCACTGACGGCTCCGACGACTTTGCCTCGCGCTTGTCGGGCAGTGGCGTTGCTACGGGTCGTGGGGGTGTTACTCACGCTGGCCGTGCTGCTGCTGTGCCACGCCGTGGCTTTCTCGAGGACCATCGCCGTGAAGTGCGTGACGGAGTCCGTGATGTCTTTCCTCTTGGAGGTGCAGCTGATGATTCTCAGGCCGTTCATCGATGCGACGAAGTGTGCCCACAATATGGTCGTGGTGCTCGTGTCGACGCCGTTCATGGACCTCCTGATGGCGCTCCTCCTCGCCCAGATCCTGGCCCGCGACCTTGGCATGGCGTTCCTCGGCCACTCCCTGGACCTCCTGGGCGCGTCTTCAAGGTTGGGCCTCAATACATCATTCGAGATGCCGTCCCTCGTCGAGTCCCTGGTCCTCGCGGGCGTCTCTTTCGTGCTCGGCCGTGGAATGGTGCTCTTCGCCCGCTCGTCGGACCTCGAGGGCGCGTATTCAAGGCTGAGCCACCACCCAATGGCACCAAATTGGCACGAGAGGGTCTCACGGTACTCAGCGGCGGTGCTGCCTCCCACGTCGAGGCCTATAGAACCGCTCTCGCTCATGGTGCGGCGGCGGAGACCACAAGCGGCGACGACCTCTTCAGTGACATGGCGTACAAGTGGGCGTTGTGCGCTGAAGGCCTGCTGGATATTCTCTGCCGCCCTAAGCCTAGTAAGGATGATGCGCCGACGAGTGTTGGGCCGCCTGGGACAGGATGCCTAGGCACTGCCTCAGATGACGTCAGGTGCTCGCTTCGTCGTGACCTTTGGCCCCAGCGACCAGGGAGTGGCTTTGGTGGGCTCCCCTCGCCTGGAGGGGGGCACAGCCTGGCGGATGGCGCGAGCTGTGCCGCCCCAGGTGATGCCGCACACCTGGTCCACGGGCAGGAATCTAGAGGGAGTGGCTTCGGTGGTCCTCCTGCGTTTTGCGGGAGGCACGGCCTGGATGATAGCACGAGCTGTGCTGTCCCAGGTGACGCCGCACACCTCTGCTCCCAGGGAGTGGCTACGGTGGACTCCCCTCGCGTTGAGGGGGGCACAGCCTGGAGGATAGCGCATGGCACTGCCCCAGGTGATGCCGCATACCTGCCTGGAGCTCTGGGCTGACGCTTTCCTGCGTGCCTTCGCTTAGGCCGCGACGCGAGAGAGGTGCACCATCCTGTGTGCACCCCGCGTCGGCACCTTCGGCCTTGTCACTGCTATCTCTGTCTGTGCAGCTGGTACCCGAGATTCTTTTAGGTGGGGTCCCAGCTTTTCCGCAGGCCAGCCAGGCTGCTAGCAGCTTGGCGCCTCAGGAGGGCGTTCGTGCACCGCGCGACGCTTCCCTTGGCAGTGCCGTATCCTTCTCCTCTTCCTCCTCCTCCTCCTCCTCCTCCTCCTCCTCCTCCTCCTCCTCCTCCTCCTCCTCCTCCTCCTCTTCCTCCTCCTCATCATCCTCATCCTCATCCTCTCCCTCCTCGGGTCGCCTACGGCCCTGGGGGAAACCGTGCAACCCAGACCCCCCTCGAGCAATGGAAAAATCAGGGCGGAAGGTTTTTCACCATTTTCGGCCTCTTGGGGCCCCTTTTGCCAGAGTTCGTGACCGTCAAACAAGACTCGGGATGAAACAACAATTGGTCCCGGGGAGTAGGTCTAAGTCGGGCCTGTCCTTCTACAGGAGGAAGATTCAAAAATAGTCAAAAATACTCAGGGGACGATTTTTGAGTATTTTTGATTTTGTTGGTGCATTTGTTGGATCATTTTAAAATGTTCGCTCCGAATCCCCCTGTAGGGGGACACGCCCGAGCTAAGAATAGGTGGAGACTTCGGGGGGTCGACGCCATGAACAAATCATGATGTCGGGGGTCTGGGCACGCTGAGATGCACACCGCCTCTGGCGCAGAAAGTCCCTTCGCGGGTCCAGGGCCCATGGTTGCTGGCCCTCGGAGGAGGAAGCCCAGACATGCTCTCGTCGTGGAAAAATCGGGACGGCAGGTTTTTGGCCAATTTCGGCCTCGGGGGGCCCTCGCCAGGCCTCGGGAGCGTCAAATGATTATTCAGGACGAAAACCAGTCCCGGGGAAAGGGTCGGGACTTCCAGGGACGCCGTCCTGAAACAGTCAGGACGTCGAATGTCCGGGAAAGGTACCCATACCTCTACCCATCCCCCCTTTTCGCCTTCTGGGCCCTCCTGGGAGGCCCTCGCCGCCATCGATTCGCCTCGAAGTCCTGGTCAGGACGCGCCCCAGGACGAGGTCCGGGGAGCAGCGGCATCGGTGCCTCTGGGTCGGTGGTTCAAAGGTGGGGTCCTGAGGGAGGGGGTCCTCAGGACGATGTGCCTCAAACGACGTAGGTCCACCCTTGGATCCCTCACTGTCGTCAGGCCCCCATCTCGCAGGACCCGGTCTTTGAGCCACCGATTTGGGTTCCCAGGCTCCGGGAAGGATGTGGGTGCTCAGGGCGATGTGCCTCAAACGACGTAGATCCACCCTTGGATCCCTTCCTGTCGTCAGGCCCCCATCTGTCAGGACCCCATCTTTGACCACCAATTTGGGTTCCCCGGGCTCCGGAGCGGCTCCCGGGATGCTGGCCGGGAGATGTCTTGGGCAAATGCTCACCGTGGCCAGGAGGGCCGCTTCGTATACCTTAGAAAATTGGCGCCGCCCACTCCTTTGGGCCTCTCGGGGGGGCCTCTCGGAGCTTCTCGGGGTGCCTCTTAGGGGGGCCTCTTGAGGCCTCCATGGGGGCCTCTTGGGGCCTCCTGGGGGCCTCCTGGGGGCCTCCTGGGGGCCTCCTGGGGCTGAAGGCTGAACTTTTCGGCTCCTGGTCCCCGTCCTGGGCCCCTCTTGGGGCCATTCTGGGGCCCTCTTGGGCCATCTCGGGCGCCTCTTCGGCTGTCTTAGGGCCCTCCTGGGCCAGCCCGGAGGGCGCAGGCACCGATCCAGGGCCCAAGAGGGGCGCGTGGCCAGGGTCGGCGAGATGGTCAGGCGTCCCCTGGGAAGGGGAGAGCGGCGACTCACCGCTGTTCTTCCAGTCGAAGACACACCGCGACCTGGCGCGGGCGGTCTACGTGGAGGAACGGGGGCGTCTACGAGGGAGGAGGAGGAGGAGGAGGAGGAGGAGGAGGAGGAGGAGGAGAGGAGGAGGAGGAGGAGCAGGAGCAGAGCAGGAGCAGGAGCAGGAGCAGGAGCAGGAGCAGGAGGAGCAGGAGGAAGGGAGGAGCAGGAGGGGAGGAGGAGAGGGGAGCAGGAGGAGTGGAGGAGGAGGGGAGGAGGAGGAGGAGTGAGGAGGAGGAGGAGGAGGAGGAGGAGGAGAGGAGGGAGGAGGAGGAGGGATGGAGGAGGAGAGGGAGGAGGAGGAGGAGGAGGAGGAGGAGGAGGAGGAGGAGGAGGAGGAGGATGAGGAGGGAGGAGGGAGGAGGAGGAGGAGGAGGGAGAGGAGGGCGATGAGGAGGAGGAGGAGGATGAGGAGGAGGAGGAGGATGAGGAGGAGGAGGATGAGGAGGGAGGATGGAGGAGGAGGAGAGGAGGAGGAGGAGGAGGAGGAAGGAGGAGGGCGGAGGAAAAGGAGAGGAGGAAGGAGGAGAGGAGGAGGAGGACGAGGACGACACGAGACGAGGACGAGGACGAGGAACGAGGACGAACGGACGAGGCGAGAGGAAGACAAGGACGAGGAGGAGCAGGAGGAGGAGGAGAAAGGAGGAAAAGGAGGAGGAGAAGGAGGGAGACGGGAGGAGGAGGAGGAGGAGGAGGAGGAGGAGGAGGAGGAGAGGAGGAGGAGGGAGGAGGAGGAGGAGGGAGGGGGGAAGGGGGAATGGGGGAGGGAAAAGGGAGAAGGGAGAGGGAGAAGGGGGAGGGGGGAGGAGGAGGAGGAGGAGGAGGAGGAGGAGGAGGAGGAGGAGGAGGAGGAGGAGATGGCGGAGGCGGAGGCAGAGGCGGAGGCGGAGGCGGAGGCGGAGGCGGAGGCGGCGGTGGAGGAGGAGGAGGAGGAGGAGGAGGAGGATTTGTTTTGACATCCACTGCCTCAGACCCCAACTAAATGGGGCAAATGGTTTCGCAGTCAGCTCTGGCCCCTTTCCTCTTGTGGTCAGGATGGAGCCCCTTGCTCAACCGCGAAAAAACCTCGCTGCGGTCTGGAGGGTGGCCGACGCAAGTCTTGGACAAGCGTCGTAGTTGGCCTCCAGTGCTGAAAGCGTGACAGGCGCGACACACACAGGCAAAACTGTGGTCATCGAAGTCAATCACAATGCAGCTGTGTCCGAGGGCTCGCAGCTCGAAAGGATCGATACGGAGCTGGCGGGTGCACACTCCTGGAGCGGGCTTCGTCTGCTTGCGGGAACAACGCAAGCAGTTCGGACATTGCCAAAATCGGTCTACCCAGGCCCACTCGTGTGACGGGCTGGCAGGCTTCGAGACTCTCGGCGGGACTTCCGCGCGAGGCACACCTTCGAGGTTGGTCCTGGGCCAACGCTCGAGCAATTTTGCAGCTAATTTGAAGACGGCCTTTGCCGTGCGGATCGCGTGGTTGAGATCCACACGATCGTCAGCATTCAAATCTTCATGCAACCGCGCTCCTGCTTTTGCCGCCTCGTCGGCAGCATTATTACCAATAATGTGTCGGCGCTCCAGTTCCGAAAGGTCAGGGTCGTCCGCTCTGTGGGCCTTGACCTTCTGGACCGAGCGCAGCATGTGATTCGCGAAAGCGCAGCTCTGCATGACCAACCCGCTGTAGGGCCGATTCGGCGACAGGCACTCGACAAAAGGCTTGCTGTTTTCTCCAACGACAGCAGCACAATCGCTGAAAATGTCAGAAGCACTGGTGAGGAGGCTGGCGGCACTAGCTGGCGCTGCGAACTCCGCAGCAACAGACGTCTGAGGGAAAAAGCTGCCCAGCGCGCCGTACATTCGAGCAAGGATCTTACCCGAAGGACCAAGACTCACAACTCCCCACCCCGAGCGGGAAAGATCCTTGATCGACGACCGCAAACAGGAGCCGTCCGTGTAGAGGTCCCCTCCTAAAGCCCTCACCCCCTCGGAAGGAACTGGTACCCCCTCAGCCTGGTACGCTTCAGGGAAGACCTGGAACACGACGCTGTCCAGGGCTTGTTCCTGGGACAGGGGGCCTGGAGCCCATAGGGACGGGCGCGGGAAAAGGCCCGTCTCGCAGACCAGCTTGAAGCTCGGACTGGGATCGGCCAAGAGCTCCGCACGAATCTTGGCGAGAAGACGCTCACCAACAATCTCCACTCGATCTTCCTCGCATTCAGGACAGAACCAAAGCCTATGCAGAATCGTGTCTCCTACCTGGCCGCACAGATAGCACTCGTCCTCTACGCAGTAGCCGAGGGAGACAGCACGGCTGAGCGGCCACACAGCCTGACAGATCAAGGCTTTGATGACACCTTCCTCCTTACGAGAAAACTTGGAGGACGCCGGGGCCGCATCAGCCAAATCGAAACAGAGGCGGGTCCCGTCGAGGTACCTGTTTCCAGCCTCGATTTCTAAATCCCGTAAAACCGCACTCTTTAAACATCTCTTCAAAAGGGCAGGGGAGGTGAGCAGGAGGGGAATCTGCACATCTCTGTCGTCCGTCATCGTGAAAGGGTCCGTCATGTCCCAGCCGAGCCGTTTCAGGGAGAGGTACATGGCCCCGACGGGGCCCTTGCAAGATCTCCAGGTGCGCGGGGGTCGGGCCCAGACTGCGGACCATGCTTCACGAATTTCGTGCCAGCTGAGCGACCAGGGGGCCCTCGTCCGCAGCAGCCACAACTCCTTGCAATACCGAATGATGGGTGCAACAGGTCCGTACCAGGCTGGGTCTTTTTCGAGGCGGGTGAGGATCGTGAGCGAGCGTCCCCCGCAGTTCGGCTTCATGGTGGAAGCAGCCAACTTACGGATCTTGTGCGCTTCACCCTCGGACATGCCGTGGACCTCAGCCCCGTACTGAGCGCCTGCAAGCGGCCCAGAAACAAACACCTTAGTAGCGCGAGAGCCCAGCGTTCCACGCTGGCGTACTAAGCGGCGGGTCCTACGCACCGCAGCATTCATCCTGGTCTTCGCCTTAGCATTTCGCCCCCTAACCCTCCTGGAAGTCCCTGGGGCGAAATCGATGCCGATGTTAACCGTGGTTTCCCTGCGGGGCCCAACGAGATCTCCAAAGACTTGGGAGAGCCTACTAGAAAAGTACTTAGAAGACGAGACCATGGCTGTCTTGTCCAAAGAAATCTGGGCACGCATCATAACAGTGATGGCGTGCTGCAGGGTGGTAGCTCCGTCCTGCAGGCTGGTGACTATCTGTTCGGCCGTGCCGACAGCGTTGAGGCCAGAATCGTCGATGTAGACATCCAGGGTAGCGCTCGGACCCAGGACCACCGAGTCGAAATATTCAAGCCCAAAAACCCTGATCATCGTCGTAGCGATCGAGCCACCCGCAATCACACCGTGATCTCCAAACACTGGGGGAGCCACGACCCCGCACAAAACCATAAACCGAGCCGGTCGATATCCAGCCAGACAGACCGCCATCAGCACAGGAGGAAAATTAAGCCTCTGGCCGCGCGACTCCAGCAGGGCCAAAGGAATCTGCTCGTAGTATTTCAGCATATCGTAAAATAGCACCTGCATGCTGGCCTGAAGACGTGCTGCGCTCAGCCGAGACCGACTGGCGCCAGACCACGTCCGATGCCGACCTATGCTTCCCCGCGGCCCAGTAGGGCCTGTCGTTGGCTTCCTCCCAGGCCACAGCATAGGGCCTCCGAATGCGGCCCCAGATGCGAAAGGGGCTCGAAAAAACTCCGATGGGGCGGAACCCAGGGACCGACTTCGGGATCATGGCCATGATCAAGGCCCGAAGTTGTCGGGGAAGCATTCCAGCCGACTCGACGATCACGAACATCCCCCCTAGGCACTCCAGGGACGCGTCGGAGAGAAACTGATAGTGCCGAAGGTGGAAGCCGTCCAAGCCGACAGCCGAGCGCCTCGAGTAGGACCGCGAGGCCGTGCGAAACTCGTCCACTGTGATCTGCGGCAGTGGCTCGAGCTTGCAACACCGAAGCCGAGGGGGGGGTATCCACAGCCCGCCACAGCTTGCCAAATCTGTCACTCTCTTGCTTCAAGAGGGCCTGAGGGTCGCTAACCAGGGCTCCAAACCGACTCAAAGTGGAGGTGGGCCTCCAGGCCGCGGGGCCCTTGGAAACCTGGTGGGCCCGACGGGCGCCCTGGTTTATCCCGTCCAGGAGCCAGGAGGCCCAATCGGACCTGGCGATCTTGGAAAACTCCTCGGAACAATTCTTGTTGGCCTCTTGAAGCTGGGTATGAACGTCGCCCAGGCAGGCCTTGCACTCGTCGGGGTCCGCGCCCCACAGGCAGGCCACAGAGGAAGCGGCGGTGTACGCAGCGGCGTAGCTACCTTGGTGTTCCGCCACAAAAGCAGGGGGCGAAGCCAGGGCAGCCTGCACCTTAGCGAAATCCGAGGGATGCTTGTCGGGGCCCGACAGCACCAGACGATAAAATCTTAAGAAGTTGGACCAAAGCCATTTCATGCTGTGGAGCACGGGGTAACGGACCGAGCCGTGGTCGCGACCCAGGACGGGCTTCCACCACATCTCAACTCCTTTGCCCCGTGCCCCATAGTATGGGATGGTCGTGTCCATCACATTACACAGTTCTCGTTCGGCCGTGTTGGCCCATTGCTTCTAGGCAGCAGCGAGAAGAGAGTCCAACACGTCAACATCCCCCCTCTGGGCCCTAACCAGGGCCTTGTCCAAAAGGGCCGAGCATTTACCGTAACACGGGGGGCTCGGGCGAAGGACCGATCGGGGCATCCACAGCGATCGGGGGGGGGGGGCTTGCGAAACGAGAGGACGTGAAGATTGGCAACTCCGACGTGGAATTGGTTCCGAACGGGCAAGTGGGGGTGGAACGTGCTCCCATCAATATTCTTAGAGACTGAGCTGACGGCCTTCGCGAGGCCGCCCGACAGAACGAAGAAGTCATAGCACTTGGGCTCGCCAGTGCCGCAACGCGTGGGCCCGTCCGCCGCCACCAACTGGCCCCTGAGATTGTGAACGAACTCGCT